CGCATCCCCTCCAGAAATGATTTGCACCCCCCCCCCCAAAAAGAGGCATTTGGCACCGCCCCCAAAAGTTTTTGCACTCCCGCAAATTATATATATTTTGATTTGATAGTTTCATATTTGATTATTCTTACTACTAAACTTGTAAAATTACCAATATTATGCTCTCAGATCTACCCATGCAGGCCTAGAAAACAAATTTTGTTAAACTTTTTCCTTGGCCTTTCCGGACGTTGCCACCAGGCCCCGGCCAAAGTAAGCAGCAGCAGCCTCCCCAGATATTTATCCCCCCCCCCCCCCCCCCCGCCCCAAAACGAAAATCTTAAAATCCGTCTCTGTGCTTAACGCGACCTTTTTATGTCAAAACAGCATCTTTTTAAAAACCTATAAATCCATTGAATAGATAAATGGATTAAGAAGAAAAAAAAATTGTTGCTAATTTAGAAGCCGGCTGCTATTTTAAACCCTATATGGTATGAAATGTATTTTATTTTGTACCTTTGTCACCTTTCTTCGTATAAATCTTCATATTTGACTGGCTAAAAAATAAAGGAGATATTAAGCTCAAGCATGCAGGCAGTACCAAACACCTTTATTCACTGGGCAAATTGACGTTTCCAAGAAGAAAAAATTGCGCCTGCCATAGAGTAGAAATTTGATAAACCGCAATTAATCGATATTCGGAAAAATGTTTTCTCTCAACATTTCAGTTTCAGGAAGAATACCTGTCAGTCTGTGCTTTTAAACAGTTGAATGTTTAGTGATTCCTCGAGAAGATAGCTGATACGTTTAGGGTTCACAGCAATTAGTTTATATAGTTTATACTGTTGTGGTACCCTAGGCCCCCAGCCATGCGTTATTAAAGGCACAGTGTCACCTATTGAGCGATGCGATTATACGTCGGCATCAAACTTGAAAAAGTTGACAAACATTTTCAAGTTTCTTGCATTTGTGCTAAAGGAGTGGCGATATCATATGGCTCATTATATAACAAATATCAGCCAAATTTATACGAATCTTCAATTCAAATAAACTTATTATCCTCGAGGAGGCGCGAGGGCACTAATTCCGCTCGGCTATTTACACCCGGGCAAAGGAGAACTCATTCGGAATGTCCATCATTAGAAACGTCCATCTAGTCAGAGCTAGCGAATTGGACAAGCCAATCAATGATCGCGGACGCATAACTATGTTCGAACAGTGGACCTCCTCACTGATCTCAAAAATATGGCAAATGTCAGGAGTGGGATTTGAAAAATATCAACGGGAAACCATAAAAATTGTTAATTAAAGTTAGTTGCTTTAGAAGGTATTACGTATGGAAGGAGTTATTTGCATTGCCGATGACATTCTTGACTTTGGCGAAGGTGATGACTACAAACAGGCTGAAGAAGATCATGATAGTCGTTTAATAGCACTGATGGAACGATGTATCCAGGGAAACATCAAACTTAACTCAGGAAAATTGTAGTTTATAAGCTGAAAGAGGTAAAGTTTGTGGGAAATATTAACACATCCACTAGCATGAAAGCCAATCCAGGAAAGGTGTCTATAGAATCATACAAATGCCAACACCAAGCAACAAAGCAGCTGTGTAGAGATTCATAGGAATGGTCAATTACCTCTCGACATTCTGTGAACACTTGTCAGAAACCATTCAACCTTTGCGGAACTTTACTCAAAAGGATGTCCCATTTACCTGGTCGCAAGCACAAGATGATGCATTAACAAAAGCAAAAGAGCTGATCTCAAAATCTCCATACTATAACCTGAATAAACAGGTAGTCATATACAAGCTGACACCAGTGACAATTTTGTCACTCCTTCAATAAGTTTGATCAATGGTTATATGGGAAGAAAGACATAGAGATGCATACAGATTACCAGCCATTAGAGACAGTATTGAGAAAACCATTGAACAAAGCCCCAGCGAGATTACAAAAGATGATGATGAAATTGCAGCGATACAGTATTAAAGTAACATATAAGAAACCAAAATTATGTATCTTATATACTGACACCCTTTCGCGTGCGCTATACTTCCAGATCCATTTCGCGCGGAGGTTACTGGGTTCGGAGTATTCAGAACTGAGCTTTCTCATCAAACTAATGAACACAATACAAGACTCACGAAAACCACCGAAGGAAAACTACAAGTCGAAATTAAAAGAGATCCATTTTATCATGCACAGTAATATGCAATGATTATACAGGCATGGTCCAACGAAAGACAACAAGTTGCGAAACATTTACAACAATACTGGAGCTACAGATTTTTATCCCACAGTCGATGCAGGCAGATATGCTTACTAAAATCCATGTCAACCTGCACCTTGGTGCGAAATCCAACATACAGATGGCACGAGAAGTCTTGTTTTGGCCGGGAATACGGAAAGCTATCCAGAATATGCGCAACACATGTTGGATTCATGCGCAATATGGCCAGACATTAACCAAAGAGCCAATGAAATCACTGCCAATACTGTACCTTCACTTTCGTGGGAAATAACTAGTCAATATCACATTTGATCAACGACCTTATACCTGGTCAAAATGTGTCATTTTTCGGACTAGATCGAAAAATACATTTCGCACAGTTTGGCATTCTACGCATTTGTCACACCGACAACGCTCCACAATTTGTCAGCAAATCCTACAAAGAATTCGCAAAAGAGTATAATTTCCAGGCTGAATCCGCACTCAGGATGAATCGTGTGTTATATTTTTGGCCGGGAAATTTGTTTCAAACATGTTATTCAACTGCGAATTCGAAACAAAGATTGTCCTATCTCACCAGAAGATAAATAATGTCGAATGAGGTTAGTGTTTTCTAAAACATTTGTAATCGAGCGTTGTTCCCGCTACGTTCTAAAAGTTCATTTTTTGACAAGGGAAATGATATATTACACCTTGCAACGCCAACGACAACGTAAACAAACACGTTTTAGTTCTCGCTCTAACCCTATAATTCCCGCAGAGTTAGCACATTGATAGTCTTTGTCCTTCTGAAATAACTCCAATCAGCGCTTGAAAAAGCTTGATATGACGTTTAAATATACAAACGTAAACGTGATATCCATAATACCGAAAAATATCGATATTTCCGATATATCGAAAATTTCGATATCGAATAATCGGTATTTATAAAATACCGCTGGATGAGTTGGGATGAAACAGGCTTCACCAACGTCGATTTTATCATAGATGTTTATTCATTTTTAAATGTTTGAATGGGCTATCTATGTCTAAGCTAATCTTGAAATCGCTAAGCGAACTTCATTCCTATAACACTAGAAATAAGAACAATTTATGCTTGCCTAAAGTTAAACGAAATTGGGGCAAACAAAGGCTCGAGTACCATGCAGTAAACGATTGGAACACTCTTGACGAAGAGACTAGACATTCAGACTCAATTGTTAAGTTCAAAATGAACTATTTTAAAACTCACTAGTGCTGAATTATAACACTCATAGCATGCTGACGTATACATACTCTTTGAATTCTATTTAGTTACTATTTTTATTGTTGTAGATAGCTCTCAGCTCTTAGTCTTACTTGTAATTTAAACACTAGGCATACTTTTATTGATTTTTAACGTTAACCTTATTGTAATGTGATGGATTTGGTTTTTATGACTCATATTTATATATGTATATTTTTAAATATAGGACCTCTCTGAAAATCACTTTACGTGAGAGAGTTTCCTATTTAAATATTGTCATAAATAAATAAATAAATAAATAATTATCGTTATATCGATATATACCGCAACAAGCTAGACTCATTCCTATTCCCCAGCTCAGCGCACGCTGTATCGTCACAGCCGAACAAGATTTCCAACCTCAAAGACAAACAATGCTCTTACTCCCAATCTCGTTCCCCGAGCCTGCGATCCTCGGGAAGGAATCGAAGGCTCTGGGATAATCCGTTACCGGAAGCCAAGAATCCTGGCTAAGATTGAACTACGCATTCCATTTCAATGGCCAATCAGATTCCTCCCTGAAACGGATTATCCCAGAGCCTCGCGTTCCTTCCCGAGGATCGCAGGCTCGGGGAACGAGATTGTCTTACTCCGAGAATGATCAACAGAACGACAATACAAGAAGAGTTAGAGCAGAAACGCATCATAAGCAAAAACAACCATGACGAAACAGTAAGACCTATTGGAAAAAATTATTGGAAATAGAATGGATTTTTGATTATTCATAATAATTGTATATTTCCACACTATGGATATAGTATCGAAATAATATGGATATACCATGGATTTAGAGGTGCAATAGCAAATCTCATAGTATGGATTTCACATTTTCCCCCAGGGACCACAACACAACACCTTACAACCTAGTCAACACGCATATGCCAAACCCCCACAACAACAGTGTGGAAAACCATGGAACTACGGGGAAATTACAGAAGAAGAACCGACGCGATCGTACACAATAAGAACAACCAACGGAATAACACGAAGGATCGAGTCCAGATCACATCAGCACCACCACCATCAGGTCCAGGAGTTAATTTTGATCAAAGAGCAACCTAGCTCAACCGATGTAGAAGCAATTCCTATTATTCTTCCAAGTAATCCACCCAAGAAAGAAAGAAACAATCACAGCACCAAAGGAATCCGAACCATCGACGCCCTTGGACGTCTTTCCTGATCAGATCTCTTTGATTCTACCACCCTTCCTTTAACTCTTTTACTTCGGCGTGAGCGAATTCAATTGAATTTTTTATCTCTAATAACTCTCGTTCAACGTAAACGATGCGTTGCTTAATTTCATCCAACGTGTCTAATTTCGCCATGACGGCTTTGATCATATCGAACATTTCGTCAATT